ACACCATGAGCAACATTGGCTTTTACAGTAAGCTTTATTTTACAATGAACAGTTTATAACACCGATAATGTGTGACATGTAGGGAAGCGTTACATTTGTAAACAAAGTCCTTACTGAACAAAATTTTCGTTTACAATTTTTATTACATGACTTCTCCAAAACCATCCCACGTAAAAATATATATCCATGTTTAGCAGCCTTATACATAAACACAGGTGTGTCTTTTAAGTCAAACATAACAAAAAATTATTGTTGCTGGCCTCCTATTTTAGATATCCTATTTATTCGAAAAGAACATCTGTGTTTCGGATCTCCTCACAACATTAGTGTGTGACATCAGGAGCCATGGGCTCCTGGTGACATGTGTTACAATGCCAGAAAAATTAATTATTTTACCCGTAAGGGACAATTTATCAAGTCATTGAGCTCTTTCAAAGAAATCAGAGGGAAGTGACATATTATATTCCATCAGCAGGATATTGTTTCTAGAAATTAAACGACAAGCATACAGGGTTTCGTATAAGATCAATCCATTCTGTGCTTTACATTCACGATATATTGATGTAATAAATGGGTGGCGAGGATGGTTGTGATAGGTTTTTGGGCATTTATTTTGTGTACCGAACACAGATGACGTAAAACAAAAGAACAACCGTCTTGAAACAATATCAAGCAGATTTCCCCTGAACAGAAAACAAAGAAGTCTTTTGCGTTACGTCATCTGTGCCCAGTACACGAAGTTTTGAGTGGAATTAGGAATCCGTTAATATCTGGACAAATTGTCACTTTATTTGGTCAGGGAAAGTGTACATTTGACTGTCAGTCTGGGACTTTCAAGAACTATTCCTCTGGGAGGGGGGCGTAAGGGTTTGCGGTATTGCAGTATTGAGTTATTTTTGGTGCGGTGTTGCGGTAATTTTTTTTTTCAAAGTACGGTATTGCGGTTTTCAGAGTCCAAGCGGTGTGAGGTAAGTTTAAATTTTATGTCGCGGTAGTCGGTGAAAAAATTGTCGTGTCGCGGTTATCTGCTTCTTTTTCATGACAAGAGGATACCAAAGGTCTTCCACCCTTGCATGGGTATTTGTTTCTCATTCATGTACACAAATAAATGCGAACATTTTCATAAATGATTTGGTACTCTTTACAGGGATAATTCAGTGCTAATGAGGGTACCACATATTCAATACTCATCATAATCACAATTCTCCTCAACTGCAACCTTAATGACGTTGCTCCATTTAATTTCTATTTCAGTCTAAGTCATTATATATGTTTGCACCTTACTGTTAAAAACAATTAGTTGTCAAGTGTGATTATCATTCATGCCAACTCTCCCGGATACGACAACAATCTCCTCCCGTACGGGTCACCAAATCTCCCAGATAAAATCGAGTTATGAACTTTTCTGTGCTTTAATTTGGAATTTATCTTATTTTCTCCCAAAATCCGAATTCAAAATTCCCATGAAACATTGGCTACCCTTCCTTAACAACATCAACCCCATTAAAATCCCAGAACATCCTTTTTAACGACAGAGTACTGGGTTCAAATTTACTCCAACCAAAAGAAGATTAAGTACATATTGGAGTCAGTGTTGAAACCCGCCCTCCCAAGCTACACAATTTACTCCGAATTTCTCCCCCCTTCCATCCCTGACATTTTATGGGCATCCCCCTGCCCCGAGCTTCGCGAGTTTCTGCGATACACGTATTTCTAGTTTAACAATCTGAACAATTAGTTCATGCGTCAGCGTCCGTGCCGAGAGCAATTCTAGCCTCTCTGCAAACTTCCCGCGTGCTCAATATCTCGACATACGCACTGCTGAAGCATGAACTAATTGTTTTATAACATTATCAAAGCGATCAATGCAGTAGTTAACTTAAAATTTTATTATTGTAGGGCGCGCTCAAAGCAGTGAATATATTTTTTTTTTCCTCGCAGTTAAGCTTATGTTTTTATCCTGAAACTGAGAGAAAGTCTACTCTAAAATGATTGTAAAATCCATATTTAGGTGCCGGAAAACTATTAATTCACCGACAAATTGTTATTGAGAGAAAACAACTTTGCAAAGAATGAGCTCACGCCTTAGCCCGCACAGCTCGCGGAGATGACAACAAGAACAGCAACACTAACCTCTTTTCCTTACTATCGGTTAACAAATTCAAATGTTTCCTCTTAAGTTTCCTTTTAAAACAAATGGTAAACTTTTCATCGTGTACTGTTGAGTGGATGCACTCAGGCGACTCAGGATTGTTACTAAAATTCAAATTAAGAAATTACCAAATTACCAAAATTCAAATTAAGAAATTACCAAAATTCAAATTAAGAAAATATCGCTTCTTCTGAGTTCCTACTTTCATGTGATATTAGAGCACCTTAAAACCTTTATACAAACAAATTTTCGGTTCAAAACGGTTCTTTGTTTTGTGATACAGGACGCTTGAATTTCCAGGCTTTTGCGTGACGCAGCATTTGACTGGCGGCCGGGAAAGCTCTTAAGTGGTTTAAAAACATTACGGATTTTTGGAGATTTTGCTATCTAAGCATTCCTTATCTTAGAATAAATATTGCTTTAATCCTTATGAGTTCTTCAAGCGAAGAATTCACGCATAAGTAGGAAAACTCAAAAACAGATGTTTCTGTTGGTTTCCGGCAGCAATATTTGTGCCCCTGAAAGGGACACAAACATGGCGTCTCCATACAAAGCTT